AGTGTTCGGGTTAGTGTGGTGTTCTGTTGTATTGATATTTGTGTGTGCCGTGTATGTGCTCAATGTATGTTCACCTGATGTTAGTAATAAGCGTAATGTGTGTAAAGTAGAGGATCCCGAAGCGCAGTAGTGGCCTGAGAAGAGCTAAATATTTTTTGTAGAACATGAATTGGGCGGTACCTAGCTCCACCTAGCCTAGCTACTTGCAATTACTCTGCTTGACCCCGCCCTCTGGTGGCTAGCGAATTAACCTTTCACGCTACGCGATAAACAGCGGCTTCGAGTTTGTTCTTTGGAGAGCGGCTTTTGGTACCGCGGTTTGAGTTTGCCCTTGTCTGTGATGTGCGGTTGACGAAGGAATTGTGACTCGAGGAACACCAAAGGTAAGACGCAAAGTGCGCGAAGTAACTGGGTATCGGTTGTCTCCGTTTAACATCGCAGTGCTGTCGACGAGAAGACTGAGTAACTGCTTTCAAAACGCAAGTTTCTGTACCTGTGGGGGGAATCTGGCTTCGGAAATAAACACAGTTTGCGGAAAGCTCATGTTACGCTTTTATTTGCTGCTGCCCTCGTCCTGTACAAGAGACGTAGCGTCCTCGTCAAGCTTTATTGGACTCGATTTGCTCGATTCGGGGCCGCCATATTGAGATGCAAGCGACGGAGGAACTTTGCTCCCCTGCTTCAGGAACGAAAGTTTCTCCCTTTCTAAAGGAACATAGGTTACAAGACCGTTCCTTCCCCAAGGGAGGACTATCCATACCCTTTTTTCTAAGAGTGTACAGTTCTCTTTTTGATATAGCGTACGCCTTCGAAGCAATGTCGCTTGAATCCCTGAAAGGTCCAGCATTCTCTATACTCCGTTCACCCCTAAGCTGACAGTGCGGTGCGAGCTACGCTATCGTCAGGCCTTTCAGCCGCCTCCCTTTTCATCACCTGCCCCTGCTCTCTGCGCGTGGGTATGGGTAGGGTGACCACCCATCCCGCGACTCGCGGGACTGTCCCGCATTGAGGGCTCGTGTCCCGCGTCCCGCAAGGAATATCAAAACTTTAAAAAATTTCCCGCATTTCACATTGTCGTAACATTTACTACGCAAATTATGGCGTTTCCGAACAACGGGGCGCAGGGAAGCGCGGAGGTCGCGGGTAAGCCTGTGAATCTCGATTGTATGCCATTTTCTATACGAGCACTGCGGGAAGCGACCCTCGTTCTTGCAGGAAACTGACGCGCATGCGCCGTTGTGCCTCTCCCCTTCATTGCAAAATATCGCGAGCGAAAATCGCTCGCCATAAGTTGAAGAATAAGCTATTGTAATTATTTCAAAATCATGCTGTGTCATGCAAAAGGAATGTTGTGGAAAGCTTTTTTTTTTTCTTTTTTACTGAAGACGGCCACACAAGGGAAGAAGCCTGCAACTCACAACGGTCGAAAAAACAAACAAACAGGGTTTTAATTTTGTGTAGGAGAATGTTAGAATAAGAGTAAGTATCGACAGGAAAGAATAAGCCGAAAAAGATTTACTGTTTCTTATTTCCTTTTAATGCATTGGGGTCTGCTGCAGTCGATTTTTATCTTTTCAACTTAGACACCTTTAATAATATATTTACCATTTTAGCCTAATTGCCACAACACAATTTTCAGGTGTATAATGTGCTTTCGGAGAGTACAGGATTTCAGAATGCACGTGTTGATGAATTTCCTTTAATACTTTTTTTCTTCAGTCGTGAAAATAACGTCCTCCTCATACTCTCCCCCCCCCCCCCCCCCCCCCCCTCCCGGTTAGGGTGTCCTGCGTTTCGCCGGCAGGAAGGTGGTCACCCTAGGTATGAGTGGGAACGTGATCACGTGGTGAAGGGAGGCGTATGACTGGTCCAACGAGCAGCTAGCTTCCACCGCACTGTCTGCTTAGAGGTGAACGGAGTATAGTCCCATGTCGGTACCTTTCCTGGAGGCACTTCAAGACGTCGCCCTGGAATGGAATGATGTTTTCTTTATATATCATTATATGAAAAAAGGAACATTACGCTCGCTCTAGTAAATGGTGCTGGGAGCTACTGAACAGTTGTACGCTCGTACCCACTGTTTCTTCAACGTTTTAATTCTACAAAAAGAGTTGAAAGACTGAAGCATCCCCGAAGGCATATGAGGGAGTCATAAATGTCGGGTAATGTTCACAAACAAACCTTGGTCTGCTTGGTAACAAAGACTTAATGTCACATTTACTGTACCTTCTATTCTTCTGAAGAAGGAGGAAAGGAAACAGCCGCTTTAGCTTTCGCTTGGATATCACTGATTTCTCGAACGTTGAAACGAGATACATTGGCCCGGAATTGTATCGCGATACAAGGAATACACCGAAAACGTATTTTGATAATGAAATACAGATACTGACTGAAAAATTATTTCGCGATATAAAAATATAAATACTAAAAGTATTTCTGAAATACTATTGCGATACTGCCCAACCCTGAATCAAGAAAACCAAGAAAGACGGCAAGAACTACATAGTGATACCGGATCAGTAACTCTCTGTGCATGTAGACGATCAAAATTATTTGAAGGCCACGTAATATAGACCGATTTTCAATAAAAATGTACTTCTTTATTATTTCTGCTCATGAATATATGCGAAGATGCTTGCTCTGTGTTCAACAATTCACCCGTACGCTCGAAATTCTTGAAATTGCGGAAGCGCCAGAGAACAAGCGCCCGATAAAAGCTGCGCGGCATAGATAATAATAATAATAATAAAAAAAACTTTCATAGCCCATGTACTACTTTATACTTTACTATGTTTTGAATGTTTTTAGCCGCTCGTTAAGATACACAAAGGGGCCATTTTCATATAGTGACAGGACGGGCATATTAACAATATATAAGCGCAACCGGAATGCTGGCGAACTTTGAACACACTCTACACTCCTTTTCATTGTTATTTTGTTTAGAATCGTCGCTCGTTTTTACACAACTGCTATGTAACAGAGGTTTGAGTCTCAAATATAGCGAAGTTTAACAGCGTTCAGTGGCGAAGAAAAATGACGTAACTAAATCAATTGCACTTTTACAACGATAATAAAGGTACATACTATTCGGTACGACACAAATATCAAAGGCGATTCATGTTACTTTCCGGTGAAGAGACAAAATGCACGCGCGTTTTCCCATTGGAATTCACATGTGCACCGCAAAAGTACGCTATTCGCTGTTTGCTTAAATTTGCATCCCGAAAGTCGCATTGACACTAGCGCCAGTCGAACCTCTAGCGTAAGTTATAATAACTCTATATCGGGAAAAAACTGTACTGTCCACTTATTATAACATGGATCAATGCTAACGGCTGTAGTCTTTATAACGGGCGGTAGCTTGCGCCACCTAGCCGTCATGACGTTTTCAGTGTTGCCAGTAAACGTCACGTTTTTAGTGTTGCCAGTAGAGCGCCTCATGCCCCTCAGACCAAACTTTAAAATTGATAAACTTCGCCCTGAAAGATCATTGCGACTCGTAATTTGGGTTGCTGGTTCCAATATATTTATAAATGCGTTGAACCAATTTGGAAGCCCATAGGTGACTAAAGATTTCGCCAGAGCGTCTCTTTAATTTTACCCCACGATTTCGACATTATAAGGATTCTTTTGCAACCCCTTCCTCGGATATCTCAACTGCGTACAGTGCATCTCCCAGTCTATGACGTATTTACACACTCGGTATTTCTTTTTCCTCTTGCTATACCTCCATGAAATGCCCTATTAGAAATATCGTATAGTGTTTTCCGGACATCTTCCGCTCCTTTTCTTGGCACGCTTTCTAAACTGTAAGACGGTTTGCTTGTTCATTCCTTTCCTTGTTACTGAATAATTGTTCGCGAGTGCGTGCTGTTGCCAATGTGGATTGATAATTGGACTCTTCTTGTATATTTTGTTTATTTATTTATTTATGCAATACCAACAGCGCCTAAGAGTAATTGCAGGGGGGGGGGGATATACATACAGATGAGCATACAATATCAGTCAGACCTCTGCTCCACGGCAAATTAATCATTCAAACCCAAGAAAAAACAAATGCTATACAAACATATAAAATATGCAAGGAATTATAAGCAAATGCATATAAGCTGTCGTCACGCTCAAATATTCTTGAACACCCCATTGTGTTAAGACATATATATATATATATATTTCTTAAAACCGAGAATTTCTTCTTCAATGATCAACATGGTTTCCGGCACGGTCTTTTAAAAACTACGCAGCTGGTCGAAAACACGCATGATGTTGCTAAAGTCCTAGACGGACAAGGGTCAAGTTGATATTATGTTCATCGATTCCTCCAAAATGTTCGACCAGGTTTCTCACCGAAAACTACTGTTAAAACTTGCACATACCCTAAATAATTAAAATAATACTTCGTGGCTTGAAGATTCCTTGACGGCTCGTCGATTTTTTGTTTCTCTGGCCTGTTGTGTTTTGTTTGTGGCCGCAACTTAGATTGAGCGTGGCGCGTTGCATTATCAGATGTTCCGCATTTCATACTACGATTGTACGAGCCAGCTAATCTTCACCCTGTGTACGCGATGCAGCCTTACTCTTGCCACTACGAAACTTTTTGGTGGGGCTTTTTCTTCTCATCGTGCGAGTTGTGAAACATAATGTAACCAGATCATTCCAATTCTTTATTTTTCCCAGTGTGTAGTGTAAACAGGCAGAGGTGCCGTTAACTTAAGGATGTGCATAGACGCATAAAGTTTTACGTTTTTCAAAGTCATGAACAACGAATGAACTCTACATTAGTTATAAGAGGCATATTCATCCCAAGTATCAGCAGGAGGAGGATCGTTTCTGGCTACATAAAATGTGAAGTAGAACTAAAAGGGACGCTGATTTTCGTTTTTTATTGTGCAAAGCGCAATTTATATCCCCATATAAGCGTCGTGGCATGTAAATGAAGACATGTTTTGCTGATTGCTTACTGGACAAGTGTTCAGGCTGCGTGTTTCTTGCTTATGCAGTTAAAGAAAATTCAGCGCAAGCAGCAACAGCAACAGCAGCAACAGCAGCAGCAGCAACAGGTGAATGCGGGTGATAGCTCCGGCAGTGAGATGGCGTCGTCCACAAAGGACTCCAAGAAGAGCGACGACGGACGGCAGTCGGCATCGCCGGCAGACCTGACCTGTGAGTGGTCCGGACTCCCGAGCTCTCAGCCCTGTCCAAACACACCTCCCTTCCTTCTGCCCTCCACCACCGACCAAACGTGCCGGGTGCCGATCCGCTCCGCGTCTGTTGAGATCCAACTGCTCCCAAGCGGCGAAAGCCAAAAACAGCACGATTACTTGTTTGAATTTTTGACGCAGCGCTTGGTTGACGTAGCCGAATGCTACGTCAGCAATAGACTGGAGCTCATGTTCAATCGGTGAAGCACTCATTGAACCCTAGTTCCGGCCGAACGCTGCCGAACCTGCGCTATGGAACGCGCCGCAGGCGCAGCGCCACCACGAGGGGCGCAGCGCCTGCGGACTGCAGCGCCCCTCGCGGTGGCGAAGATTTTTATCGCAACTTCATCGCAACACACGCGCTGCCGCGGCGCGAGTGTTGAAAGGACACGTGGCTTCTTTATCTTTCGACTCGGGTTTCCGGAATATTGAAAGTTCAACTGCTAAGCTTCGTTGCACTTTATGTCCGGAGGCACCCGACGCTACGAGTTGATGGGATCAGTCAAATGGTGTGAAAATCACAAGTCACTAGATCTTCCCTATGCGGAGAGCAAGTCGTCTGCTTCTTGCGTAGGGGTAACGGTGTCCTCAAAATGACGTCGAGTCTTGATTTGCTTCGATTGGAATGGTAGTGGGTACACCGTAATGCTAGATGCCTCGAGGTCTACCCACTATTTTTCAATCAGGGCCAATCAGACCTCGGTGTTCTGATATCTTCGCGACCCCTGCGCGGAGCAGACGAACTTGCGCTCCGCATACATAATTGGTTCAGCGATGTTAGAACACATGCAGACAATCATGCCGTTTTACACCAGAGACTGTGGACCAGAAAAGGAAAAACTTTTAATCGAAGGAACAGACACAGAATGGAACGTCTCAAACTCAGCTTACTTATTGATTTCTCAAGCATTCTATCTACGCCCACACAGCCACTCCCAACCACCTTCTACGCAGAGATCTCCTGGGTCTTTGTATAGAAGGTGCTCGAGAGTGGCTGGGTGGGTGTAGATAGAATGCTTGAGAAATAAACCCGTTAGCTGAGTTTGAACGTTCCCTCCTGTGACTGTTCCTTCGACTAAACGTTTTTCCTTTTCTGTACCACAGTTTTAAGTGTTAAACGACATGATTAACTACCGCCGGCTCGCCCGCGCTTTTAGAGTCTTTTCACGTACTGACACTTGACAATCATCATGACGCTGAGCTTTTGACGCTGTTTGATTGGTCTTATCGTCTCGTAGCGTCGGCTGCGTTTTGACTTAAGGAGAAACAGAGTATAGCATGCTCTTTTATTATCACAATGTGTATGAATGTATTTTTTTGTCATCCACATAAACTGCGCACGTTTCACTCGTTAAAACGGGTCGTCCGCCCGAATTCCGCGATGAAAATCGCGCGATGAGGATTTCGGGGACCGCTAGAGGCACTGCAGCCAACAGGCAAGTTGGCGGTCGCCAAAATATTTAGAGCCTACATTACAGAGACTGTCCAACTGCGCTATCAGGGTCACGTGGTCTATGGGCCCCGTTTGCAAGCTGTGAGGAGGTGACCAAAGCGCTGGTCGTCTGCGAGCGTCTCCGCCTTTCCGCCTTTCCGCCTGCTTGCCTCCTTGCTACCCGAAAACGAAGCGCATGCGCATTTGCGACCGATCTTCGCCGGAGGCGCCCGCCATTCAATTGCAAATGCTCCCCATGATATTGCCGCGCGCGCAGCTGACCAAGTAGGCAGCGCGCGTGGCCTAACGGTTATTGTAACTGGCTCCCACGCGAAAAGCTAGGGTTCGATTCCTGGGAGCGGCGCTTCTTTTGTTTATTCCTGCTGACTAGCATTCTGGTAGATTCGAGAATCGTGTTCGAGGTCCGAATGTTCTACGCGTCGAACATTCTACGCCGATTATTTCAGAAGCTCAAGCATGTACAGTGCTAATCATACTTGTCTATAACGCGCGAGCGTGCGGCTTTCTCCGGGGAGCGCTAGACTGGTGGCATTCGCGGAAACCAAGCTAGACACGTGGCGCGACTTGGAAAGACCCGCTCGAGGGGTGTCCTGCCCACTCTATCAGTTTGATAAGCGATAAAAGTAAAGTGCTTAATGACATATTTTTGTTTTTGATGACGACATGATTGATACGCCTTCATGCTTTAGTTTGTTTATTGTTCGAGCAATGATGTTTGTAAAAAGCGTGTGAGCAGCCTTCCGCGTTCACCGCCAGCTGATAGAGTGGGCAGGACACCCTCCGAGCGGGCCGTTCCATGTTGCGCCACGTGACTAGCTTAGTTTCTGCGAATGCCACCAGTCTAGCGCTCCCGGAGAAAGCCGCACGCTCGCGCGTTATAGACAAGTGTGATTAGCACTGTACATAAGGGGCACCGCGTGGCGAACCGGACTCAGTTTCGCCCCAGCGTTCGACTCTGCTGCTACGCCGACTTCGATGCCCGCGACACTCTGTTGTTATCTTTTGTACCCTTTTATTTTTGGCACAAGTTCGCCACATTAAACGTTTATTTCTTCCTGTTTATTTCTTGTTTTTTGGTCACCACCCGTGACAATATGAGATGGACCCTCTCTTAAAATTTTCATCCTGCCTCGCGCCCCTCTTTATCATTGCGCGCTTAAGGCACCCGTCACTTTCCCACTTCTCCGCATACGATCCAGGAAGATGATATACATAATCCACTCCACAGACCTTGGGTAAACACCGAGCTCTGCAGACAACCCGAAGAGACTATAGTCCGATCTCCTCGCTAATACTGCCACTGTGCGAAGTCAGGGGATACCGGAAGGCAAATGACGGATGTCGGCTTCGCATAGGCTGGACTCTCCTCTGCAAACTACGACGTCTTCAACTCAATCTCTTATTCTAAGATCGGGCAGCTTGCGTCACCTGCATTGTTGATTATCGTATGATTATTCCAAGTTTATGTGATATGAGAACCCTTGCATATTTATATTGGTAAAAAAAGGCAAGCTTTGTTTTATTTCATTCCTTTTTCTTCTTTTTTTTTTTGCAGCGCCGCCATTTTCTAGATTAGGACTTCTTGAATCGGCAGCCGTAGGGTCCCCGTACCAGCTTCAGCCCCTGTCCTATGGCACACACCATGATGGTAAGCATGGAATCTTTCAATTGAAGCCATTCAGTGGCGAGTAAATTGCTTATATTGTCCTTCAAAGTTCTCCCGTGAGTCTAAATAAAATAGCATTGAACAATATTGTCGAAAGCTACAAACTGTCTTTTTTTTTTACGCGCATTGCGCGACACTATTAGGACAGATTACCAATCGCAGCTTTCTATAGTTCTCGTAGAATAGATGTTTTGCAAAATTACTTAAGCATCACAGAGAATGCTGGGAATGTAGGTACATGAGCTGCACGAGCTATATATATAAAAGTATAAAAGATTTGAAGTAAATAATCAAAATAACGCGTCGAGGAACGCACGTGCAAATTGCCATTTGTTTGAGATTTTTGCTTTCTAACAGTTAAACATGAGCCACATATGAGCGATTCTTCCGAGCGACGCGACGCGACGAACCAACGACCGACCAAGCAACGCTTGGTCGGCCGAAACCACATGCGATGGGCATGAAACCACATGCCCATCGCAATACAAAAAAAAAAAAAAAAAAACAATGACAAGTGTTGGGCGCGCGCGCTCGCAGCGGTAGCGACGTCTCGAAGCATCTCGTTCTATTGGCTCTCGCTCGAGCCACGTCCGGGCGACGCGTGAAAACGGGCGATATTTTTTTAGAAATCTAGAAACGGAGCGATGCGACGGGCAACAGCGACGGGTGACGGCAAATCTCGTCGCTCGTCGATGCCGCTTGGTCTGTCGCTCGCCAACCAGTTTCTGTGTGATTCAGCCTTTACTTATTCAGACGACAGCGCCTGCAGTGCATGCACCTATGCTAAGAACATTCTCTTTGATGCTTGGGGAATTCCACCAACGGTCTATTGAAAGAATCATCAGAACAATTAGTGTGCTGGGTAGTGCTTATTCGGGACTCTATCCCAATCTCTAAACGTTCATGCGAGTCAAAACCATGTCTTTAGAAAGTATACAAAATTTTTGATTTCTTGTTTGTACTACGGTGTGATTTCACGCAGTGTACATCTCAATTTCACCTTATTTTACGTTTTTTTAAAAAAAAGGGGGGGGGGGGGGGGAGAGGGTCCAGTGATACTGATTCGATTTTGCGATATTTGATGGTATCGGTCAGATAAAGGAATTATATTAATTAATTAATTCATTCATTTGTTTATTTTTTGTGCTCATAAACAGCTTGAAGCCTTGATAATGATGCGCAATTAACATAAAGCAAAAAAAGAAGAAGAATTCTACAAATTGACAAGAGAAAACTTGAACGCTACAAACGATGGTTATAGATTTGTAAGAGAAAACTTGAACGCTGCAAAAGATGGGTTAAAAATGTCAATGCAACAATCATTGAAAGTATTATACAAGGTCTGAATACGTGTCATGGGCAGGTTCGGAAGAATTCATTAACATAATAATGATACACCCTTACGTATTATTACCCACCTGCAAGGCTCAGAGTGATCAATTAGAGGAGGAAAATTAAACGACAGAAAGAGAAATAAAATATTCATAAATGGTGGTTCACAAATATTGAGCCGCGTATTCCAGACAGTCACCTTTTTTTTATAATTTTTCTTGAGGTCAAAAAACAATGATGCATTCAAATTAAAAAAACAAATTAATAAAGTAGCAACTGCTTGCGATTATTCTTGAAATAATTGTGATCGAAACTTTCCCGTAGTCAATTAAACACAAGTTTTTATTTACGTATAGGCTAGGTAACTTAAAAATTCCGTATTTTTGCGTTTCTATGCCGCTGCTATTTTTCTCTACCGTTAGACTAGTGCGAGGTCTGTAATAATATAAAATATTTATGTTTATGAGGTAAAACTTCCTAAATAAGCCAGCAGTATTAAATTATTAAACATAGTCCTCAAAGCTTTTTAATGGCTGTTGTACGTTTTCCAGATTAGTGGAAATTGTTTTGCTCTAAACTAAATGTCGATGATTTAACTGGAAATAAAATAAAACAAATTGTATGTAGATAATTTAACGTTTGTTGGTAAAATAAAACGATGATAGCTTCACATAATCCAAATTTTTGATAACTTGGAAATGGGATAATGAATATCACGTGCAATATTCCCCAAGTCACCCCAACAAGACAGAAAGATTCTACGATGTCAAGTGTAATTGTATTATAAATGGTTCATTAAATTGTTTATTTCTGGAATAAAAGAAAACGTTTTTGTTTGCAAGGTGTTTATTTCTAAACAATGAATGTGACATGATATTTTTAATCCAGACACTGCCAGAATCGCGATTTCGAATAGCGCATCAACAATTTCCGCGGAGAAAGTTGTCAGCATATGAGTTATGAGATATAATAGAGGAAGGCCCATTAATATCGACGCATTAGGCACTTCACGGAAGACGTTATTATCTGTCACGCGCCCTCAAATCCAATACTTGTCTAATTATGCTAGTATAAGTTTGTGACTTGGGCAATCGAAGCACTTTGTAAAGTCTATAGGCTACTTTAGGTGAAACTTTGGTAAACTGTAGGGGCGAGATTTGTAACTACAAACAAGTGAAGTTTATGTGCATCCCAGCCACTTCAACGTTGTGTGAGTGTCCATTTAGCACAGCAGAGACCATTCTTAATAATCGAAGGAGTTCGCTATTACCGTACAATATCAAGGAACCTTTTTGCCTCTGCGGCTAAAGTAATAATTTGGGAGAGTGGGTGTCTTTTGACTGTTCTCAACTGCACATCAAGGTTTATTTAAAATTTGAAATTGTACCTTTTGCCGTTTATCCCATATTCAGCAAAATAAAAAAAATAACTGTTTAAAAACTTTTATAAATGGGAATGAACGAAACCGATTAGTCGGTTAATTAATTGATTAAATGGTGGCGCTTAATTCGGTTAAAATTTTTAATCGACGTTCAGCTTTATTTAAAACCGGTAATATTTATTAGGTGTTGGTTAAACGTTTTTACTAATGACCCCTTAGGAAGTTCAGCGCCTATATACAAATTATGTTGGAAAGCACTGGAGTGACGATGTTGAGGTAAACGTGTATTCTGGAGTAGGTTAAGGATCCGTACTTGATCCACTTTTGTTTTTAATTTATATCAAAGACTTTCCTAACAATCTTTCATCGAAAGTTCGCTCTTTTTGCAGACGACTGTGTGGTATACCGTCGGATATCTAATCAGTCAGATTGCAGTGGACTACAAAGAGCTCTAGGTAGCCTCATTGTGTGGTGTGAGATATGGGAAAGGCAAACATATACGAAAAAAAAAAAACAGTGACATTCACTAAGCGTGTTTTCATGCTATATAATAATTATACGATCATGAATTCAAAATTAGATAAAGTAACTTTCTATACATATCTGAGAGTTCAACTCACTAGCAATCTTACCTGGAATGCTCATATAGAGAGTACATTGTTAACAGAGTTAACCAATCTTTAGGATTTTTAATAAGGCGCTTGTACGTGGCAACAGCAGAAACTAAACTACTAGTTTTCACTACCCTGATTAGGCCTAAGTTGGTGTACGCATCTATAGTCTTGAATCCACCTCAAAGATATTTAATGGACAGGCTAGAATATCTACAAAATAGGGCAACTCGGTTCATACCGTTATACACCTGGAAGCGTCTTTCAACTTAAAATATCAATAGGTGCATTAGCGCTCTAGCGGAGAAGATATATTGCTAGACTCTCCCACTTCCATGAAATCTATCATACATAAACTGAATTTCGGGAAAATAACGTCATCACACCCACTTGTATTTTTAATCGCCATGAGCATCCTATAACTGTCCATATTCGCTTCGCCAGAACTAACTTCTATGAATTCTCCCCGCTACTACAGGACGGCAGACTAGAATGGTCTGTCCAGCGAAATGGCTCTCACCAGAAAGCACGATGCTTTTGTAGCATTATTGCGTGAATCATTGCCGTTACAATCGCTTTTCATTTTTATTTTTGTTTTGCCTCGAGCAGCATATGTATATTATCCCGCGTGACCATGAGCCATGCTATTCTTGGTGAAGTTCTGTTTAGCATGATTATGTGTCCCTTTTTGTATTTGTTTGTCTTTTTTACAACATTGTGCGACTATGCAAACGTTACGCCCCCTCTATGTAATGCCCTCCTAAGACCTTTAGAGGTATGCATTTAAATAAATAAATATATAAATAAAATTAGAGTAGTTTATACACATGACATCCTAAAGCCGGGGTTCCACTGCCCATACATCATACAAAACACAGTCTGCAAACACGAGTCATCGCAATGACTCTGGTTCGAATGCCGCGTGCCAAGTTTCCTCCTTGAACTCATTGCCATGAGGCATTCGAAGCACGGATCTCGCGGTGGCTCGCGTTCGAATCTGTATGCAGACTCTTTTGTATGACGCATAAGCAGTGTGACCCCAGCTTTACACACCTGCGCCACCTTGAATATATCAAAATTGTATCGTTCATTATTTTAGGGTGCTACGGTAAGTTTTAAATGGCTTGAGGTCGTTAGTGTCTATGGGTTATATTTAAATTTGGCATACAAAAATTTCATTTCAGTTAGGTAAATTTGGCAATAATATTTAAGCGTTTGGTCGTTTCGGTGGATTTGAAAGGGAAATGTGCCTTATATAGTTGGACAATAACGCAATAAAATCGTTAAAATCATCGCGTGCAATATATATATATATATATATATACATATATATATATATATTTATTTATTAATTTCGTAATGTATGTTGGTTTGTATTTGTAACAGCGATCCTAAAACTGTTCAGTCGATGAAAGGCGATATTTTTAAAAATGATGCCTGTTGCATTTGGCTAGCTTTCCTTTTGACGCAATTAACGAAAATGAGTATTGAGAAGTGGTAATTGAGATCAGTATCAATATCACTAGCTCGTGTGATATAGTTTCTCGAGCGGTTTGAAATGAACAAATGTGTCAGCGTTGTAGGTTCGCAATTGACACAATTGTGGGACTGCTGATAACGTTTGTACAGGCATAAATATATTAATTAGCAAGTCCAATGTTCGTTTAACAGCAGGGCCCGTACGCACGTCTATGATAAATCTACTACCGCAAACATCACTATTCAAAGAAAGCCTTAAAGTCTATACAATACAATGAAAATATTCTGATTTCCACGTGAGCACAACATTTCAGAATCTTCGGTGAAGCAACTGTTACTCTTTACAAACTCAAAACAAACTTTTCTTTGCAATATAGTTAGGCCACCACCACGCCTCGCGGTGCGATGATTATTGTAAAAATTTCAGTCGAAGGGCCACTTCAAGGTCTTTTTTGCTTCGGCATACATATAAGGAGTCTCTGTAAGCGTTATTACCTCGAGGCAGGGCGGAAAAGAAAAACATGTTTTCTTTTTTTGTCAAAAATATCAAGTAAATCGGAAATGACTTATTTAAATAAAATTGATTTAATTTAAATCAGAGGGGTATGGTTTAAATCAGATAAATTATATATATATATATATGGTGCCTGAAGTAACCAGGCCCGATCTAAAATGGGCTATAAACATTGGCGCCTGTACGTAGCCATCTAAACTTTAAGTAAATGGTGTATTTCAGAGGTCGGTTTTATCTTGCAAAATTACGAAGCGTAGCTCCCTTTCTGTAAAAAATCTCGCCAGGGTCAACGGCGGGCGACGACGGAGACGGACGAGTCGAGTGGCGGGGAGCGTTTGGTGCACGTATTGATAGGTGGCGTTGGGAGCAGCGTCAGAAGGTGTAGCCGATTAGCGATAGAAAGCAGACAACACGCAGACGAAATCTGTTGGCAGCAGGAGCACGGTCGTTAGCAACCGCGTCTTTTTGTTACTTCAAGTTTTGCGTTTTATTGTTTTCAATTATATTTAAACCGAAATTACATTACAAAAAGGTTATGATCATTTAAATAGACCACGGTCGTCGCGAGCAGTCTTAATAAGGGGCAGCGCCATCTATCAACACGTGCGGCAAACGCGCCCCGCCTCTCAACTCGGCCGTCTGCGTCGCCGTCCGCCGTTAACCCTGGCAAATTTTTTACTCTATTTTTTTTTTTTTTTTTACAGAAAGGAGCTACGCTTTATGTTTTAACAAGATAAAACCGTCCTGTGAAATACACCTTTGACGAAAAGCTTTCATCGCTACGCAAAACGGCTAACAATAGGTTTTTTTTTTTGTTCGTTTTTGCATTACAATTTTTTTTTATAGATCTCAAAGTGTTATTTAAAAAAAAATAAAAATAACGTAGAGGCAAACACCGCGGTAGGAGAGTGAATCAAAGACGTGACCTTCGACAGTCGGGAAACGCCCATTTCCACTGCGGCCGCATCTCCGTTCCATAACTTGAGAACAAAGATTTATCCGGAAGCTCTGCTTTCCACTATCTTCTCAGAAGAAAATTCCCTGCAACATAAATTTTTGTCAAACTTTAGAAGTTTTTCGCCTCTGCGGTTTGAGATCAAATCCCTCTACTGCAAGTGTCAAAAGGAGAAAAAAAAGTGAATACTTTAGTTGCGCAAGAATTAAGAGCATGAATCAACAATGGGGGTAAGAATGAATTCATGCCTCTAGTTTAAAGGGCTCTTTTGTTGTTGTTCTTTTTTTCTGTAGCACGAGAGCAAAAGATTGCGGTGATCCTGATGTTGCTTTTGTTTTTCAGTTTACCCCTATAAACAAATGTTGGTACCTGATCTTACGGTTACGAGCGTGTATTTGTGTGCCAAAGGCTGAAGGCAAGTAAAAAAACAAGTTTAAAATCACAGCCTGTCGCTTTGGGTGCTCTGGTGGTAATATATCCGCGCCTCATTCAGCATCTCTGAAAATAAAAATGCAAGGCGTTTGCAATTTGCAGCACCCTTAACATTATGGGTTTTATGACTTAGACAAATTTGTTTTCTCACCATTGCGGTTTCCGCTACTGTGTTCACGTGTTGTTGCTTGTATTCCAGAACAGCCACTGCTCGACGAATAAGCCAAAGTCATTCGCCGTCAAAAGTACAAAGCCCCAGCTTATGGAACCATTCAGGCAGTAATCAGCAAGACCGGGCAGCCGGGCTTTAGATAAACTTTTATGTGGAACAGCATGAAAAGTCGTTTTCTCTTCTATTTTTTATAGGTTCGTACTATGGCCCTACTCATGGCGACCCAACTTATATGAAGTCGGAGATCTCGATGGAGAGCGAGACGTCCTTAAGCGGGCTCGAAGACGTGCTCATCAGCGCCGGAGGCGGCCAGCCACCGGCCCTCAGCGAGCCCCACCCCATGTTTCCCTCGTCGACGCCAACCGTCAACCCCATCGACAAGCTGTACTCCATGCAGACGTCCTACTTCAGCAACAACGAGTGCGAGTGCCTGGGCGCCTCCAACTGACCCTTCGAGGCGACGCCCGGGACATCCCGCTCACGACGGTTACGGACGAGGCGCCGCAAGAGCGTCATGGCGACCCTCGCAGGGAACGCTCGTGACCTTGTCTCCAAAGACGCGGAAGTGCAGGCAGGCCGGTGTTAATGTCGCGTGTTTAAAACTTCACACTGAAGGAAAACTGATAACGAGCAATACAAAACGATACGACAACGTCTCAGAAGCCCTGAAGTCTAGTACGTTTCGTTTTGTGCTGTTTATTGTCGGTGGTTCTCAGTAATGGGATCTAAGGGTTCTAAACATGCTACAGCATCCAGAGCCCTCGATGGTAGTGACATCTATTGTGGCGAACTTGCAGGGACGTTTCCTTGTTTTTGCGACGAAATTGGTTTTCAAGCATCTTCACATCGATTCATCTTGAAGCTCTTTTATCGATGGTGTCCCGATCACGCACTGTAGCATGACGAACCACAGCGGCTTCACAATGGGCTTGGGCACGCTGTGAGTACGTCGTTACATCAGTCAATCATGTCTCATGCGCTTCAAGCCTAGCATTAGAAGAAAATGCATCGTGACCGCCCCCTGCTGTAATCAGCTATCCTAGGTCCAGCAGACGTCATCACACTCGTGTTTGTGCATTAAAGCCTCCGAAGTTGCACATCGTCAGACTATCAATGCTCCCAGTGTTTGTGCGGCGCAGGGTGCATTCCACAAGCACCTTCCTCCTGCAATGAAGGTGTATACAACTTTAGTTATGCATGCAGATACCGGATTGTCAAAAATGTGATTGTTATACCTATCTGTTTTACACCGGGACTCTTTAACTCTTGGTTGCTTCTTAATGATTATATTGAAAACGATCCGGGAGGAGCAAAAATATTGAGTAGCTGTTTACAAAGACGGTTGAGCACGTGAACATAAATTTAGTGGAACGTTTCGGGCTACAAAACGTTAAGTATCATTCACGTGCATACTCTTTACCGATAAGAACCCATGACAAAGACGATTTCTTTTGTTCTGACTATCTTGTGACGCAAAGACGATTAATGGCACTCTAGTCAAGGCGTTTGAGAACATATAAATGCTTACTGCGAAGCGCTCAGTCTTGCCACTCTCACGCAGAATATAATAAAACTTCTAAAGCGCAATTTTGTGTGTTCACTTACTCGTGAAATTTCTTCCTAACGACTACATTTCATGGTATTCTCTTGTGAAGTAGGACAATGCTCTTCGCCTTCTATGAATATAAACAAACCTTGCCACCCTTACTCGCGCGCATTCTACTACCACGTAAACCTTGTCCCCCTTATTACCGCGTATTCCGACGAAGACGGGCCTTGATGAAGCCCAAAACGAAGAAATCACTGACAGTGAGGTTCGGCGAACGTGGCGGCCAAGGCGTGGTGGAGGATGCCCAACCCATCGACCTGTCGGGGAGCGTGTCGTCCAGCAATGCGCGCACAGCAGACTAAGTGTGTGGAGGCGCGCATCCTGCTGGAAGATGCAGACTTACTTCTACATGTGGAGCGACTCCAGTTCTGGAAGGAACTCGTCCCGGAGCATCCGGAGATACGACCCGCCGGTGACAGATCCTTTGAAGAAAAAGGGCTCTACGATCACACGACGCGATGCATTTAGACAGCGACAGCTGTGCTGCTTATTCGACGATATGACGATGACGATCGATGGACATTGCGCCGATCGTGCATCATGCGGTGATCTGATATTGAAATGACGTTGCGCTGATGTAGCCTCGATACATTGTTGATGAAGAAATTGTCTTAAGGTCCTGATGTGTTTTCCCGCCAAATTTAGTGGGGAAACTAAATTGGTGCATAGATCACATGACGTCAGTTTTTCTGCTAAATGTAGCGGGGAACCAAGATTTTTCGATAGCTCCCGTCACGTCATGTTACGCGACATCAATTTTCCCGCAAAACTTAGAGGGAAACTAAGTAGGCGAATAGGTCATGTGACGTCAATTTTTCCGCTAAATTTAGTCCACTAACTTGAATTTTTGTGTATGTCCTATGACGTCAGTTCACGTGACATCAATTTTTCTGCCGAATTTAGCGGGGAAACTGAATTGGTGCATAGGTCACGTGACCTAATTTTTCGCTAAATTTAGGTAGGAAACTGAATTTGTGCGTTGGTCACGTGACATAAATTGCTTCGCTAAATATAGCGGGGAACTTGAATTTGTTTGTAGGTGTGTTACATGACCTACCTGACCCGTGACATCACGCGTGACTTGACGTCACGTGACCCGTGACGTCAGGTCACGTGACATCAGTGAGGTGAGGAAAACTTTATTTGAACCTAGGACAAACGTCAGTGCCCAAAGCCGGGTTTTCATCTGTTGAGGCACCACACAAAAGACAGTCCGCAGACAGATCTGAGTTCGAGCCACTGCGAGATCCGTGCCACGAAGGCCGCGGGGCAACAAGTTCAAGGAGGAACTTGGCACGCAACACCCGAACCACGAACACCGCAGCGACTCACGTCCGCAGGCCGGTCCCGGACGATGCACAAGCAGCCAGAACCCGGCCCAAGGGCCCGACTCGGCACGTTCGCTTTCAAGCATTGCCTCTACGTCCTTGGTGGCGAGAAACGATGATGCGTCCTATTACAACCAGGACGCAAGTTCGCTCTGCAACACGAAGTCGAGGAGGGACGTCAGGACCCTCGTCCGGCGCTCGGAGTTGCCGGCACGATGCGCCCAGTTTCGCATAGTCGTCGGCAGGTCTTCTGGAGTGGGAGTAGCCCAGGCTGCTTGACGCTAAGTAACCAGAGCTGCGTACTCCCAAATAGGATGGTGAAGTTTCGGGAGGACATCTGAACCTCCGCATCGCTGGCAGCGTGTGTCGGGTGGGACATAATAAGGGTCAAGTTTACGTTGCCGGGTCAGCTCAAAGCGATAGACATGATAAGGCGTGACCGCTCCACCTGCCCGAATGCGTCGAAGCAGGACCAGCTGGTGCCGACGGAACGTGTTTTCGGGTATTCGGAACTGTTCCCGGGTCCAAGAATCGTCGAGTCGGCGTTTTCCAGTCCCGACGGACGAGGCAAACAGCAACGACTGGATCGTACACGTAGGCTTCGTCTTCGGGAAACTGGTCATCGCTGGGCGACGAGGGAGGCACCGGTAAGGCCCGCTGGGAGGAGGGCAAGTTTCTATAAAGCCCCTCAAATGCAGCCTCGTGGGCCTTCTTGTTGCCGGCAATGACCGCATGTCCTGGGACCCAGCGTATACTGACTCGGACGCTTCGATGGCGGTACAGGCAAAATGTAGTGTCGAAAATAGCGGCGATTGTCGGACTCCTCGTGAGTGCATTCGTCTTAAGCGCGCGAATTGTGTCTTGAGAGTCCGTGAACACTGTAAGCTTCCGGGGCCTGGATTCTTGACCTCACACGTGAGGAGGACGGGGAGGATGGCGCGGGTTTCGGCTTGCTCGGGCGATGAAAGGGTCGTGTTGGTGGTTGCGACAACGATAGCATCACATTCCACAGGGTCATGGAACGGGAACACCACAGCTGTAGCAGATCGACCGGATTTGTGCAGGACAGCATCAGCATACGCGATGACATGCGCAGAGTCCTGAAATAAGGCGGTGACCTCGGCTTGGTGTTCACGGGCATAATGCTCTCGACGCTTGACGTGGCGCTTAGCATCCATACCTCACGGAACAGGCCGGGCATGTGGCATGAGATCAGTGAGATCTCATGGAGGCTTGGTAGGCGGCAAGTCGTTGATGCTGGTCACAGCTACTCCAATGAAGAGAGCGACTGCCTTCCCCTGGAGCGTATGCTCAAGTCGGTTCATGCGCATGTCGAGTTGCTGCTCGAGTGTTTTTCGAAGGTCGACGAAGTGCAGGCATCTACGAAGCTATGACGTTCGGGCGTGTCGAGGGAGCTGGAGGATGGTTCGGCGGGCCACGTTATACAGTGTCGCAATCTTGTCGAGATGGACTATAAGGCCCAACTAAAGAGTAGTATTCCTACGCCCGTACAACATTTCTTTTTAGAGCGCAGCTCTTAGGCGCCCGTTTCCGGCTTGAGCGGCGTCGGCGTCGCCTTCGCCGTCGGCGTAACCGCGCGGTGCATTATAGGTAAATTTCCCCGCTAAATCTAGCGGAAAAATTTCCCCACTAAATCTAGCGGAATAATTTCCCCGCTATATCTAGCGAAAAAATTTCCCCGCTAAATCTAGCGGAATAATTTTCCTGCTAAATCTAGCGGGAAAATTTCCCCGCAAAATCCAGCGGAAAAATTTCCCCGCGAAATCTAGCGGAAACATTTCCCCGCTAAATCTAGCGAAAAAATTTCCCCGCTAAATCTAGCGGAAAAATTTCCCCGCTAAATCTAGCGGAAAAATTTCTCTTCAGGTCACGTGACCCCCGTGGTCACGTGACCCCCACGTGACCTTGGCGAGGGGGTCATGTGACCCCTCCAAGGTCACGTGACCACCCCTCCCCCCCCCCCGATAACACGTGAACCTCAGTACCCTTCCCCCCTCCTCCTCAAGAGCTGCGCTCTAATTCGGCGTTACAGGGAGTTGTAAACGGCTTTCATTTTTTTTGCTATGGACAGAAACATGCCGGCGCGGCGAAGGTTGGCGTATATGGCATCTATACCCGCCTGTAGCGCTGCCTTCTGTGTCGAAACCAAGCCTTGGCATGTCCAGATGGTAATATCGTCGGCGTAGGCAGTAGCTCGTAGTTCGGAAGACGGTGAAGGGCCCAGAGGCCGGCGCCTTGACAATGTTGAATGCCGGCGACATTACTGCTCCTTGAGGGACTCTAATGTTGCTATCATTGTCAGTATTGCTACGCGCGTCAGGGCTGTAGCCCGACTTGAGGAGGTGGCAACGGCCGGCCAGAAAGGAACGGACAAAATGTAGTTGTTTCCTCCTTAGCCCTAGCTCCTACATCGAGAAGGCAACGGCTTCGGTTGCGACTGTTTCAAAGGCCTCCTTGGTGTCCACCGTGACCGCGGTCCGAAGCTGCTGGCTGTTGGGATGACAGCAAGCGACATCGTGGTGAATTATGGCCAGACTGTCGTGGGTAACCAAATTCTTGCGGAACCCAGTTTGTGTGGGAGGAAAGATCTTGAGGTCTTCTGCTTGCCACTGAATACGTGCAAGCAACATTCGTTCCATCAGCTTTCTCATGCTGAATGTAAGGTAGATGGAACGCAGGTTTTTGTGGTCGGTCGGTGACTTGTCGGGTTTGGGGAGGGGGGTTACTCATGACATTTTCAAATCATCAGGGAGGTGACTCGTGTGTCAGATGGAGTTGAGCCAGTGAAGGATACCTCCCCGATCGGCACGAGGTTCATTACGAAGCATCGGGTGGGGAACTCCATCGGGGCAGGGGTCACTCTTACATTTGCACTAGGCGATCGCCGCATGAAGTTCCAACTCAGTGAATGGCTGGCTCCCATAGGTTTTTCCGTGTCCACAATGTCTGCATACACGGGCCTATATAGACCGGTGAAGGAAGATCGTAGAGTTGCGGGAAGAATACTAAACTGAGCTGGTTCGGGACTTCTTCCACGGCGTCTGTCGAAAGCAGGGCCAGAAGTGGGACAGGGCTACACGACTTGCGTTTGCCTATGGCGTTGAAAGTTCGCCACACCTTGCCGAGCTTCGTAGTCCTGTCTAAGCACTCGCAATGGGCAATCCAGCGTGTGAGGCTGAGGGCCTGGGCTAAGTGCTAGCTTCCTTAGCGAGAAGTGTCACACGGTTCAGGTAGCAGCGCCGCTTGTGCTTCCGGTACTTGGTAAGCGCAGCTGTGCGACGATCCCACAGAGATAAGAGATGTGTCTAAAGTGGGTGTATTTGCATCCGCCCGGTGTGAGTCGGTCGCAGACTTTGTAGCCGTCGTGAGAAGGACCGAAATGTGACCAGGGTTGATCTCTTCGACGTGTTCCTCTATGGAGGCACGAAATTGATCCCACTTCACTGTCTTCGTAGGTCGCTTGGTCATTTTGCGCTTGCCTGCAGATAGTTCGAACACTATGGGGAAATGGTCACTTCCCCACGCGTCGGGAAGCTCAGCCCACGCGAGAAGGCGGGCGGTAGGCGCGGGTACGGTAGCGAGATCTATCACATTGTCAGATTGAATGAAATGAATAAATGAAA